TAATGATTCATTCATGAATAAATATTAATAAACACATACTAATAAACGGGGCTAATTGTTACTGAAATATTTTATGTTCCTTTTCATTTGTGAGAAAAGCAATTTTGTAAATGTTTTTAAGTCCTCTATATACTACATTTGGCTAAAAATTCTCAATACTATATTTTCTAATTTATAATATTCTAAAACCAGATAGAAAATTTGGGAGACCCAATATACCTAAATCAAAGATAAAAGCAAAATATTGCCTCAACTTTTTGACCTCAAGTCACCAGAATAAGATGGACTCCTCTGAACTGTATGTTCAACTTGGCAAATGGAGTCACTGCAGTTAGCTACAAAGCAAAACCAGCAGAGGGGGTATGTAGGCGGCTGTTAATGGGCCACCAGTGGTTTGTCCCACAGTCTCCAAGAATCTGAGAGCCCAATAGTGGACTAGACCCTGACAGTTACTAGGCCAGCAGAGTAGTGATTACAGAGGTTGACAGATAAAAAATTCCAACAAGTTTTATCTATCATAATTATACTGGCAACTTACTATTTTAAATTTAAATGTTTGATTATGGGAAAGTTAAAATATATATAAAAATAGAACACTATAATGAACCCCATGTACCATCACTGAGTTTCAATAATTAGCCAATCATGTTTCATCTATACCTTCTACCCACTTACTAGCACCCATATTATTCTGAAACGAGTTCTAGATCATATCATCTCACCTATAAATATCTCAATACTAGTGGCCCAGTGCACACTGGAAGGAAATTAATTAGAAGAAATATTTTAATATTGCTATTCACCCTTTCTCTACAATAGAAGTGTCAGAGATGAAAGAAAATTGGTAAAACGTGCATGAAAAGAATATATAAATTCATTAACAAATAAACAATAACAACATGACACAACAATAACAGACATATGAAAACAACAAAAAGATGATGTAAAAAACAACTGATAAAAACAATGACTGATAAGCTGATTAACCTTATTCTAATATCTCCCTGTACACCACATTAAGAGTAAAAACACGTTCAGAGTGCTTGACTAATTTCCCCGGTGACAGAGTATTTACAACTTGAACGTCACACACTCTTCGAACTGGAGAGAAAGCAACAAATAACTCCATTTCCTGGGAGAAGTTTAGGGACAGGCAAAATGGACATGTGACGCCACATGTGCTACCTTCCACCACAACCGTGTTGGGTAATTGCATCCTCGTTTACCTAGTTTCCGCTATGGAGGCAGTTCCTGCCGGTGCCGGTAGTGCTCGGCGCTGACCGGCTGCTGTCAGCCTCGGCGGCACGCTGTGCCAATCGTTCTTCACGTGCCAATCGTTCTTCATACGCAAGCTGTCGGCGACACCGGATTCTTTCGCGTTCTGCCAATCGCTGTGCTTCAGACATATTCCGCCGATACCGCCGGCTTCTTTCGGCGGCCGCGGCACGTTGTGCCAGTCGCTGCTCTTCAGACATATTCTGCCGACGCTG